AGGGGGAAAGTTTTTTCCACCTATAATAGCTTAAATATACATGAAAAATAAACCATTGTAAAATATTATTACAATAATCTCTAACTAGAGATAATTGAATTTCAACCAGATTTTTTTTGTAAATAAGAGACCTACAAATTTGGTTGCAATTCAGACCACATTTTTATCTTTTGTGAATAATCGCGATTGAATTCACTTGCTTTGTTATTCACTAAAGTGAGAATTCAAAGTGAATTTCATATTTAAAGGTACACTATAGGCAACCAGACCACTTCATCTTATTGAAGTGGTTTAGGTGCAATGTCCCTATTCTCTTAATCGTGCAATGTGGAAGGAGTACAACTCAGCGCAGATGGACATTGGCTTTGAAATTAGGTAAGTGAAAAAATAAAGTTTTTTTATAGCGCTGGTGGCAAGGAGGGTGCGAGGGATTGGGGTGCACATGGTACCTGTAGTGTTGGTAATACAGCTTTCTATTCATAACACTATAGTGTTCCTTTAAGACCATATTGAAGCATATTTGACTTTGATAATGTTTTTAGTTCAGCTTTTTTTTACCTTGATTTAGAAATATACTTTAGTGCAGGGGTAGGCAACCTTTGGCACTACAGGTGTTGTGGACTACATCTCACCTGATGCTATGCCAGCATTATGGGAAATGTAGTGCACAACATCTGCAGTGCCGAAGCTCCTACTTCAGTGAATAACCCTGTTTGAATTCCTGACAATTTGAATCTTAGTTTAGTGGATAGCCCTGACAGTTTAGTGAATAGGCTTGTTTAGTGAATTTAATCTGAATCTGAGCCTTTGTAACAGCACAAATTAATTTAGAATTTCTTGGTGCAAAACATTGGCACATGAAATAATTATGGAGATTATTGCTAATGTGGTTCAGCCCTGCCATAAAATATTTAAGACTCTGACATGTTCTCGTTATGATTACACTTCCCAGATAGTTCGCAGGTCAGGTTTACTCAGATTTCTGGATATGATCATGTTTATGGCGGGTGCGGGAGCATGGCATGGATGAATGGTATCAATGGCAGTGCTGGTAGGGGTGAGACTGTTAATTCCTAGCAGAGCTGATCCTCAAGGTGTTCAAAGCAATTCAATGTCATCTGAATGAGAAGCTTTTCTTTCCACACAAAGATAATTGCTTTCACATGGGCATCAACTCTTTCTCTTTATTCATTATGCAGAAAAGACTCCAGCATTTAAATGAATGGATTGTAAAGGGGAACCTGTTATCCAAACACAAAAAGAACTAATTTACCTTTATGCATCTCAATAAAAGTATCCACATGTTCGTCCCGTGGGAAGTAGCACTTACTAATTGCTGCAAAGTGAGGATATCCTTTAAGATGACAGCCGCATCAAGATGAAGGCGAAATATGGTGACAATTACCTAAAAAACGCTTTTTTATATTTTATGCTAGAAACAATTTGGCCTAAAACCTCCGTTCAGGTTTCACACGCCATATCACATCGGCGTTTTCTTGGGTGGCAATGTCATACTGCACTACGGCCTCAGTTTAATATTGTTAGAGAAACTTTTTGAGGGATTTATTATTTTTGGATACATTTTTTTAACACAATTTAATATTGTGAAAAATATTTTTAAAAAATTATATTCTGATATTTGTTGATATATTAATATATTTTTTTTATATATAATTTTTTTTGATATTTTAATATTTTGACAAAATTATTTTAAAAGTATATACGTTTAAAAATAATAATTTGGAAATCTTATCCAAAATTATTACATTGAGGCCTAAGTTAGACCAGGCAGGATATATATTCTTTTAATGATGTGCACTTGCACATCATTAGTTATGCTAATTGCATACAGTGCTAATTAATATTAAATATGTTGCATGGATATAGTATATATGTGTCCTCTCTCTCATGGTGATTCACTAAACTCTGAATATGAACAAAATAAATCCAAATGGCATAATTGAGGCTAAACTAACTGATTTAAAAAAATGCTCCAACCCCGCTGCAATCATAGTTTGACTATTGCAGCATCCATTTTGCCGTTATGATTTACTTCCGTAAAATTCAGAGTTCAATGAATACACTGTTACGGTTTTAGTAGCTACAATTTATTATGCTAGTATTTTGCTAGTAGTACCGATTGCAAAAATAAAAACTTTTAAAGGGTTACTCCTCTTATTGAATTAGGGGTTGAGCACAGGTGGTAAAATGAGCAGAGCCTCAAAAGTCAGATGGTAGAGTTTAAATGAATATTAACGTTAATACATGTGATTTATTTAGAAGGAACAGCCGACTTTACAAAATTAAAGGATTCCAAGATCAGTTGGTTCTAATATCCTGATTGGAACAAATGACCGGTCCACTGACAGCTCATATCATTAATAACAATATTAATAATAACAATAATCTGTATTATTATCATAGGCACTGCATAAACTGGGAGACAACCATGCTTGCTCCCCTCTTTAATTTCTCTGAAACATACTTGTGCATAGCTGTGAAAAAGACAACTGGGCAACAGTCATTCTATCAGCCCAGTAGTTGCATGGCAACAGTTAATAATATAACTGAGATGGGTGTGAGGGGGTAATTGCTGTCTGCTACCTCCCTTATCCCCTGAGATGTGGAATGAGGGCTTCAAGTTAATGAATAGGCCATAGAGTCCCCAATCTCCGAGTGCATTCAATTATTTGTTTACTTTTCTTCTAAAATGCCTTCATGCAGGCCATGTTGTCTCCTGTCATTCCCTCAGTATGAGCAATAAGAAAATCCTAAGGGCATTTATATGAGTAACAAAAATGGGTTAAATATTTTTTTTAGCATTTTGTAATCAATAGGAAGCATTAGAATGGAAGAGAGAAACAAAATATGGGGGAAATACTAATGCAAGCGCGGAGCGAGGAACGGAGATGGAGCCTAAACCATCACCGAGGGACATCGGCACTGGAATCAGGTAAGTGGCAGAAGGAGTTTTTAACCCGTCTGCACCATGTGGGAGCTAATAGTGAGTTATTGTGCCAGAAAAACAACTTTGTTGTTTTCTGCACTTTTTTTTTTCTGCACATTTGCGCTTTGTCTTTATTTACACACAGGAATGGCAATATGATGTTATAGATTACGGTGACGGCCTAAGATTTATGCAAAATATTATTGTGGCAATATTATATGCATCTTAATAAGGTGAGAGCATCTCACGCTATTGAATAAGTCCTCTTGTTTTTTACAGAAACTGGCAAATTAGACTTTTTAACCCTTCCAACGCTGTAGTGTCTGAGAAGGTAGTTTTTACCTAAAGAAGGTCTTGTTCATTAAGATAATACTGGTGACTTATATTATTTTGTTATTTGTTCCCAAACTAATTAAGATATTACTGCATGTGATTATTGTAGTTATATATAGCACTAACTCGTATCTTTAATTGTTTTTTTATTGGACTTGTTTTGAGAGGATCAGAGAAAAGCAGCAAAACCAATTAAATAATATATCACCAAAAGGTTATTATAGATAATATAACTTAAAGAGGAAACACCTGCGAGTAATAACAAAATATATCACAATTTGTCAAAAGCAAGAACTCAAGCAATGTTTTTCTCCCTGTTCAAATCTCTTAAAGGAACACAACAGTGTTAGGAATACTGTATTCCTGACACTATAGTGTCCCTCTGTCCCCCTCCTCCTTTCCCGCAGCCACCTTGTAGTTAAAGAATTAAAAACCATCTCCACTTCCTCCATCATCAGCGTCAATGACAGTGCAACCAGACCACAACAATGCAATAAAGTGGTCTGGGTGCCTGTAGAGTCCCTTTAAGTTTTGCTCAGCCAATGAAAGATCAGTGTGAGCTGAGCCAATCACTATCTTATTATCTGTATAGCACTTCAAACCAAGGTTAGGGGAAACAGGACAGTAATAAGAGGGCAGTGATTGGCTATGGAGTGGCTGATGTCAGCAGCCCAGCTCATACTGAACTATCATTGGCTGAGTTGATTACTTACCCAGAACATAGCTAGTAGGAAGTTTTTTTTTCGGAAAGAGGGGGTATAATTACACCACAGAAAGCAGCCATTTTTATTTTTTAGAAAATGCTAATGATATTTTGTTGTGAAGGTAAACACAATATGAATATGAGCCTAAAACCAAATCAATACCCTTAAAGGACCACTCTAGGCACCCAGACCACTTCAGCTTAATGAAGTGGTCTGGGTGCCTGGTCCAGCTAGGGTTAACCCATTTTTTAATAAACATAGCAGTTTCAGAGAAACTGCTATGTTTATTAATGGGTTAAGCCTTCCCCTAATCCTCTAGTGGCTGTCTCATTGAGAGGCAGCCACTATGCGATTCTCACTGTGATTTTCACAGTGAGAAAACGCAAGCGTCCATAGGAAAGCATTGTAAATGCTTTCCTATGAACTGAATGGCGCAGCGCTCTTGCCGCGTCGCATTCAGCGGCGGGCAACAGGAGGGAGAGGGAGGCGAGAGCTCTCCGCCCAGCGCTGGAAAAAGGTAAGTTTTTACCCCTTTCCCCCTTCCAGAGCCGCGCGGGAGGGGGACCCTGAGGGTGGGGGCACCCTCAGGGCACTATAGTGCCAGGAAAACGAGTATGTTTTCCTGGCACTATAGTGGTCCTTTAAGAACTTTTGGTGCCCGAAGTATGAATGGAGTATGTTTTAAACTCTGTCATAACCACATAACCACAACAGCTCACACAGGCACCCTCCAAGAGTAAGTAGTCAAACTATTATGTGAAATAAAGTTACTCAAGGATGCAGATTCCAGGGAATTATTCAATACGATCAGGAAGCATTAATCCAGAATGTAAAAACAGAGACACTGCTATCGTGGTAAAAGTGATTTCAAAATAAGTTTTAAAGTTTTGGTCAAAATTGCCAAATTGGAAAAGTTCTGAATAGTGATGTCCCGAACGGTTCGCCGAACGGTTCGCCACGAACGGTTCGCCACGGACTCATCATTGAGTAAACTTTGACCCTGTACCTCACAGTCAGCAGACACATTCCAGCCAATCAGCAGCAGACCCTCCCTCCCAGACACTCCCACCTCCTGGACAGCATCCATTTTGAAGCTGCATTCTTAGGGAGTTGTCCAGGAGGTGGGAGGGTTTGGGAGGGAGGGTCTGCTGCTGATTGGCTGGAATGTGTCTGCTGACTGTGAGGTACAGGGTCAAAGTTTACTCAATGATGAGTCTGCGGCGAACCGTTCGGGACATCACTAGTTCTGAACAATGCTTTCAGTTTGGCTACTTTGCCCTTAAATTTGAATTTCATATTACATTTACTGTGAATTCTCACTTTAGTGGATAATCCTGTATATGTTTCTTTAACCTAGTCTTCATTCACAAATGCTCCTCTCAAAAAATGATCCTTGGATGCATTAAAGGTAAATAAATTCCGTGACTGGAATTATTGAAAGTCTTCTCTTGTTTTCTTCTGCTTCTGCTGCCATCTTGGACACAAATACTTTTTAGAACATTTCCGAAGAATACAGCATTACTGAAAATAAAAATAAAAAGTCATATAAATCCATGTCATCTGTATGAATTAAATTTAGCAACATATGGATACCCCCCACATCTCCGCACTGCTAACGAAACACTTAAATGCTCCACAATTACAAGATAATTTGTAATTACACCTTTACTGTATATATTTTTCTGCGATGGGTATGGAGTTAATAAAAGCATCTTTTAGTTTGGAATGCTCACTGAATAAACTGTTAGTCTGGCTCCATGTGTTGTTGTTAAATTATGCACAGTAGGTAATATCTGATCTCTGTCAGCGACATCCGGAATGCAATGCTGGGAAGAGGGATTTTGAACTGCAGGCAGCCAGCGCTGTGATTTCACTGAATTATGGAGAGTTTTTTTTTTGTTTTTGTTCCTGTTGATTTCTTTTCTGAGATTTTTCGATATAAATATGAATGTATCTACTTATCTGTGCACAGCTTTTAACTTTTTAGAGGACAATTGCAACAAAGTACATGTGGATCACATTCTTTATTTTCATACTCGTCTACACAGTATTACACTGTTAGGATAACGATGAAAAATCCCTTCTACCCTGCACCTAGGTGTAAAAATACTCTCCTTCACGCAATGAATTACATTAAAAGCCAGGATTGGACACACGATTAAGGGGTTATGGGCACAGAGGTGGAACGTTTGTAGTTGTCCTAAAAAATGTGCTTGCTTTCAGTCAGTATCTCATCCTTAAAATCCCATATGGATAACAGTAGACTATTTCAACAATTCTTGTTTTGAAATATATACCAAGCACATTGGTGGTGTTTCATTAAGCTACTGCAGTGAGCATCCTAGGTTTGTGCTGAGAGTTCAGAGTTTTTTTCTCAAGTGGTTACATTACTATCTGTAACAACATACTTTGAGTTATGTGTCTAGAATAGATCATTTTACCATGTATAGTAAAAGAGGTTTGACATACAGATAAAGACATATAATGCATGAGCAGATATCTCAAAATTATAAAAAACTTCACATACCTGGTAGTTTCCAATATATCTCTTTTACAAATTCTGAGGCATGTGACAAAGTAATAGACATTAATATTTTGCTAAAATTTTGTGTAAATGTATAAAATCAAAATACTAGAGGCAAACTCCCAAGAGACAGTTGTGAACGGAATGGATGATCTCACAACATTAAGTCTAAATAATCTTAAATAAAGAAAAGCCTCAATTTTATATTCACATATACAACCTGGTTGCACGGAGGTAATGGTGCATTGTCCCAAATGGTGACCTGACAAATCTAGGCCAGAATACACTAAATGGAAAAATAGTTGAGGTGGACATTTTTTTATTATTTTTTTTTTGTTGTGTACATTTTTCAATTCATTAGTTTCCAATAATTATTTTTAACTGGAATTTGGCTTGTAATGCCATCTATTAGCTTCTCACCCATATTAAAAAAAATTTGCCACGTTCTACTGTGCAAATATAGACAATTACTTGAGTTCTAGAAAATTTATTAATTATAAATTCTCACTATTAAATATCTGTTTGCTTGAGATTCTCATTCAACATAGATAGATGTAAATAGAGTAAAATGATTAATTAACTGGTCATCATTATAACTTTGACTCTTTCAGGTAGAAACTACTGTGCCAAAAATTATATTATTTTTTTATTTAATCTGTCACTGTGATCATTGAACCACAGCCCCCAGCCCCCCAACTTTTTTTTTACTTTTAAAACTGTAAACTCAATCACTTTTTTTTTTTTACTCTTTTCCAGCACCACAACCCACTCCTTGCATCTGTCTGCTCTGCACCCTGTTTCATCATTATGCTTGGTGACTTGCCATGCCAACTTCTCATATAAAAGCATTGCAGAAGAGAAGCACATACGTGCTGCTCTCCACCGATCAAATGTTTTTCACAGATAAGCATTAAATCTAGTGCTGCTCTATGAGAAGCATTTATTGAACATTCAATGTCCTCATGCAATGTGTGAAGAGGTTAAACGCCAAGAACAGAGTTGTACACAGTTCCCATTGCTGAAGCAACATATAGTGGCTCTCTGTGTAACAGGCCCTAAAGGTTTGTTTAGCCCTGCAATGTAGACATTGACACATGTCCAAAATGCCAATGTTTTACATTGCAGGAGCAATACACCAAGGGCACAGCACACAAACCACTTCATTGTGATGAAGTGGTGTGGATGCTTTTAGTGTCCGTTTAATAAACAATTATATAATATTAGCATGAATAGTGGAGATGGAATTTCCCTTACATTTATTTTGTAGTATGTGTGGTGAGATTTTATAATCTAGATCAGATCACTGTTCTAACTCAGACTAAGGTTCCATTCACATTCACAAATGATTTTGTATGAATTGTGCATACTATTTTATGTTATGTGACAGTTTGGGTGAAAGTGGTAAACGAGGTTGAATAATTATTGCAAAGAAAAATGTAAAGAGTTATAGCCAGTGTGAAAACGTTCTTTATGAACAGAAATCATAAATGTGGTACATCAACGAAAACTGAAGATTAAACTCAATAGCATATTGATTATAAATACCTCTCTAGAACAAAAGGAATTCCTGTAGCTGTATTATTTAGACTTTGAGACAAATATTATATAAAGTCCGAGAGAGGTATCTATTTACCAGCCCAACAATGCTGTACCTGGACACATCACTAATGCAATTATTCTAAAGTTCATTAATTTGTTTTATATTTTGTAAACCTGTTACACACACTTCCTTCTGTCAATACTGGGTCACCACCCACTAGACTAGACTACCAATACACAAATAAATTATATCCTGGATTGTTTCTCGAAGCATGGGCACCATTTGTATGAAGGAAGTATATTTACATTTGTGTACTAATGACCTGCAGTACACTACATACACTTAAAAATATAATCAAATAATAAGTGCAGTGTCATAAATGTCATTTTCCTTTCAGCTGTTTGATTTACCACTTACACTGATCAGCCACAACATCAAAACCATCTGCCTCATACAGTGTAGGTTTCCCTTGTACTGCCAAAACAGCTCTGATGCATGGAGGCATGGACTCCACGAGACCTCTGAATGTGTCCTGTGGTATCTGTCTCCAGGACATTAGCAGCAGATCCTGTAAGTCCCGTAAGATGCGAAGTGTGGCTTTCATGGATACAATTTGTTGTTCCAGCACATCCCACTGATGCTCAATTAAGATCTGGGGAATTTTGTCTGGGGAATATGTCTCCTCACTTGATCTCTAAAGAAAATAGCATGAAACTGCACCCATCAGTGTACTGCAAATTACATATGTGATATTTATATTTTGCAGTACACTAATTTGCTAATTTTTGTTTGTATTTTCAAATTCATTTTCCCCAAAACAATTGCATGGGACAAAATGTGCTTAAAGTGAAATTTTCCCATAGGTGAATTTTGGACCACCAGAACTATATATTTTTTATTTGTTTATTTTTTGAAAAAATAAATTTTGCCAAACCAATTTTTTTTCTGTGCATAAGTCAATTTACTATATTAATCTTCAAGGAGTCAATCTTTAGGAATGTACCAGAAAAGTACATCCTAGAATTTCTTACACCTGCAACTTGTAAGTATCCCACCCAAGCTATTTAGTCCCATCTTATATTTATAAATGAAAGTTTAAATGGTTGTTGACCGGAGGGCAGAAATGAGTCACAATGTAAGCACACGAGCACACGAAAAGTAGATGTACCCTTTGTGTAATTCATTTTTATTTGTTACGCATTTGTAAAATTGCTGCATTTATGTTAGTGCTTTGTTACAGAATGGTGCTTTTTTATTTGGTTAACTAAATTGAATATGCAAATCCCCAGGATTTCCGTAGTTGTTTGGTGTTATGTTCTTTTTGATCATGTTTAATTTAGCTCTTTTCCAATTTTTATGCTTTACTCCATAGCAGTTTGTTTTTCACATTTCTTTGCTTTGTTACACAAGCATGGGAAGAGTAAAGCTGCTTAAAAAATCGGCACGAGATGTGGCCATAGTAAATAATAAAAATGATGAACACTTTATTAACATAAATGCTAATTAATGCTTCCATTTGTGTGTATATACTACACAATATTCCAGTATAGGAAAATTGTATCAAACTTCACAATTAAAAATATAAATATTAAATCAGATGGGTCAAGGATATCACAGATTCAAAATATAAGCATTAATAGCTGAAGGACGGGTGATCACAATAGCATACCTTGACTCTAAGAAATATGTCAACAAGTTAAATTCAATATCTTTGTTGATTTGAAGCTAATTTATTGATATCCTACAGTTGTTCAAAATTCATTGGTAATATATATAATAGACATTTAGATTAAAGATACATTCACAATGATTTATGCTGTGAATCACTGCTTAATGGCCACATTTTAGCAAGATATATCCAAATATTGGAACTTTGTAATAGATGATTTTATTTATTAAAAAGATATAGTATTCATTTAAAAGAGGTATGTGTTCGTAATAAGTGATGGGAACATAAAATATAGTGAGGATCTTCATGTTTGTTTAGCAATGGAGCGGACACTCTCTATTTAACCCCTTAAGGACACATGACAGGTGTGATTCCCTTTTATTCCAGAAGTTTGGTCCTTAAGGGGTAAATGTTCAGAAATGGCTAATCAAAATACTGCC